TCCAAGGCAGCAGCTCTGGGCTCGGTTCACTTGAAAACCCAACCATCATCTCCAGCACGTCCTCCGGCACGTCCGGCATGATGCTACGCCACCAATTCCAGTCCACTTGGGACAATCTCTTCCGATTCTTCTGGTTCTCTTCAAACTCTGCCAACATCACCATGGCGTCCTTTCGATTCATGACAGGGCACCCCGATCTCAGCCAACACTTCACAGCTCCAAGCTGCTGGTGCATGATCGTGCAACCCTGCCCATTCCAGTGAATGGCATACCCATTCTCCACCAGCAGACTCAGCGGCAAGATCGGCTCCACTGGCTCCAGGGACAAGAGGGTGTCAAAGTCCGGGTGCTTGTACAAAGTTGTACATCCATGGGCAAGCTCCACCGTCACAGGCTGCAACCTCCCTCGCTCCTCCTGTCTTGCCATTCTCAATGGGTGAGTAGCTCCACCATCCAATAATGCTAGCTCCAAACCCTCATTGGTATCTGCCACATGAATCTGCTTCAATCTGAAGGTCTTCATACTGCGGAGGGACTTTAAGAGGGATGTGGCCTCAGTGATCAGCTCCGACGTCGGATCACCCTTCTTTTCCAATTCAACTCCACTATCCCGTCCCTTTTCTCCTCCACCTGCCACCGGCCGTGTAGCCGCGGACAAAGAGCTCGTCAATGAAGTAGTTCCTGACTTTTCATTCGGGCCAGTCTCCTCCTTCTCCGACGTCCCTTTCCCACTTCCCTTCAACTTGGCCGTCTTTTTCCCATCCTTCTCCGGTCGTTCCCGACCATACGGACAGTCCTTCGCAAAGTGGTTCTCCCCGGAGCAGTGAAAACACCTGCCCGTCTTGTTGATGCCCTCCCAGGCATGGGCGAAAGTACAGGTCTCTCCCCGCTTGCACCCACCAGTCGTACCCCAGTAACGGCATGGATGTTTCGTCTTTGGTGGTCCATCTCCGCCTCCGCCTCCTCCACCCAAGGCCTTAATCGTTGGCTGAGCCCCGGCTGCTGGCTGAAGGACTGCTCCGGAGCCAGTAGTCTTGGCCGACGAAGGATGTGGCATAGTCAACGCCAAATCTTCCGCTTCAGCCTGGAGAAACTCCGCAAACTCCTTGGTGGTAGTTAACGTTGGCCTTCGATCGACCTCCAGTTCCTGCCGAGCTGCTGCAATCCTGAATCCCACTTGGCTTCCTCCATGCTTCGTGAGATTCTCTGCCACCTTGGACAAGGCCTGAATCAAGACCATCGAATCCGGGATTGCTACATGCAATTCTTCAGCTCGACAAATCCACCTGCGCCATGTTCGAATGGCACCCAGTGTGTCCTGGATAGAGCTGCCACACTTCACCTCCGTCAGGCTGCGCAACAGATTTCCCCTTTCTGCATTTCCACCAGGTTGGTAGATGGTGAAGAGCTTGTACAAAATCGCCTGAGTCGCCACTCGTCGACTTGCCACAATGTCCTTTCTCACCGGTTCCGGGAGCGCAGCTAGCAAAGTCGAGCTAGCCCGCTGGTCCAATCGTTGGAACCGTGGGGACACCTGCTCCTCCACCTTGATTCTCAACCGCCCCAATGGCGTCGCCAAAAGCCACTCATTGTACTTCACCTCCACTTCTCGCTGCACCCAATCCCAAAACTCGCGAGACGACGTACTGAGGTCTCCCATCAACGGGGAAATCACCGTCAGCCAGTCCCCAAAGAGCAGGGCCGCATTCTCAGTCGAAGGTCATGGCAACTGTGGCAATTCCAAATTCCGCATTGCCTCAGGTAGGGCCGCTGTCACCGATTCCATCGGCTTCATCCCATTCACCGCCCCATTCAATCCATTTCCATGACCTCGAAGATCGGGTACTGGAGCAAGACCAGGAGGAGTATCAAGTGCTCCACCAGGCTTAGCATTCTCTCCCATCGGCTCTTGAGGTCCTTCCGCCTTCGCACTCGGCACCGACGTGAACGATGCTGAATCTCCAGCGTCCGTCATCTTCTTCACCTCCCGAGCAAAGGTCTCCTCGGCCTCCCTCAAGATGCGTTCTCGAAGACGTTCCACTTGTCCCAGGCCCGGACTCGGCACAGGAGGTTGGCTTCTCGTTACCTCGGACTCACGCACGTGTGACTCACCCTTGGCCGCTTGCTGCACTGAAGCACTCCAAAAAGGATTCACCGTCCCCAAAGGTCCCACCGGCGTGGTAGGATAGGGCTCCAGCACCCGAGGGTGTACATCATCACGTCCTGCTCCAGCCATATAAGGTGATGCCCCACTGCGCTCCATTTCCACCCCGCTCTGCCGCAAGGGAGTACCAGCCGCCAGCCCGTGCCCTGCGAGAACTCCGTATCCGGTACCAGCATGACCTCCATGATCACCGCGCCGAAGAAGAGGATCTAGTAGGGTAGGTTGGGAACTTGGCCTTTGAAGAGCATGTTGCAACACTTCAAACGACTGCCGAACTGCCTCCTGCAAATGCCCAAGCCCCATCACCTGGCCTCTTGGGTCATTCAACAGCTGTCGAACTTCCTGTTGTCCTTGGTGACCACTCGATGCCGCCACCGCCGGAGGGCCTCCCTGGCCTGATCCAGCCCCAGCAGCTGCTCCCAGCCGCTTCATCTCCGCTGCCCTCACAGGCACTGATTGCGCCCTCATGGCCTTGCCCTGCAGCTCCTCCTCGATGAGCGCATCCAATCGGCGGTCAGCCACACCAATCTCCACCGGTGGAGCCGCTGCCTCTTTCCGCTCTCGAGATCGTTGCTGCCGGCGTCTTCGTTGTTCCATGGGGACCAACACTTCCCCGTCCTCGCGACGGTGGAAGGTGGACTTGGAAAATCCAAAAAAAAAGATCACCTTGGGCTCATAACCTGTGGTTACGAGATCGGTCGGTCCAGCCCGTCGGACCTATTTTCTTGAGCCAAATGCACAGACAGGGTCAAAAGGTACACTTCTGATTTGTGCACCTGTCGAAATTCGGAGTGGAATGTTCGATCCACAAACCCAAATTTATGCACCAAATGTAGGTGACACTTCCATACATGCATATGGTTTGGGACTATTAGGCCTGGGACCATTGAGTTGAGGGCCAAGAAAACGCTCGAGTCGAACAGAAAAAACCATTGGCCAAACTTGAAGACATTTCGCACACTTGAAGGGACATCTTTGGTTTCGCTATGCTTCGTAAGACGGCATTTTGAACACATGAGGCACGGTGTCGACGATGTTTTCTCCTCATGGCGATGAAGCCACGCCGACGACGTCCTTCCCTGACCTGAAGACACATGGCGTGGTTTCTACCTTCCATGAAAGGTGGAGGCCTCAAGTAATGGACAATGTTTTTGGAATTGCCGGATCGAAATATATATATATATGTGTTTGGACAAAACACATCTCTAATGCCAAGTGCTTGATGATGAACATTGTGTGTGAGAGTGAGATTGATTGAAACACTGACCCAAACCCAGACCCACGCACACACAAAAACAAAAAATATACAAACCTGAGAAGCTGCAAAACGAAAGCCAGCGCTTCCCTTTCTCGACAACTTCGCGTTAGGGGTTCAGATAGGTACCTTTCAGGTATCGAAGGCAGTCTGCGAAGCCAAGGGAGCTGAAAAAAGAAACCGGTGTTAAAATGGTTGTTCCAAGGCAATGCTTGAACCTTGGGATGAGCACATAATGTTCGAATCTCGAAGCGCGCGGTCGGTATCCTTGATTGAATCTGTTCTTCATTTTTGAGGTGGCCTGAACAATGGTTTTAGGGCAGCAAACGCCTGGCCCCAGGCCACCTTGAATTTCGTTTGAAAAAAACATTCTGTTCACACATAGATAATTCCCATCCGCATTCAGATGAAGCAAAAGCCAAAAAATGCACATTGACCTACATTGACCTTGCACCTGGTTGAACATACGATTGGTTGTCATATGATTGGAAGTGCATTCGTTCAAGTAGAAAGTTTTTAGAGCAAAATTCGAGGTGGCCTGGGACCAGAGGCTCGCTGCCCGAAACTATATGTTCAGGCCACCTCAAAAATGAAGATATGCGAAGCAAGGGTCCTGAGGTGTCTCTGTGACAAGGCGTTTGTTAAAACAGACAGTTTTTTCAAGCTAAATTCAAGGTGGCCTGAGACCAGGGTTTGCTGCCCTAAAACACTCTGTTCAGGCCACCTTAAAATCTGAAGGTCTGCGAAGCGAGAGCAAAGGATGCACATTGTCCTTCTGCTGCTTGAATGTGGCCTTTTGTTTACTTAAAAGTTCAAGACCTCCCAGCTGTTTCCACCTCTTCGCTTCCCAGTCTTCCCAGGGTTCATATAGGGAGCCAGGCCATTTTCAGAATCTTCTGGATTTGAGCTGTTCGAGTTCCTATTGAAGGGTATATGTTCTAGTTGGCGAGTGCGTCACCACCCGCTCCAAAAGCATCAAAGCATCACCTCCCAGAGTTTACGTATATCTTTCTCGAGCCACACATGCACAGCAAACCACAGCTTTGAAGTCTCATTCGTGCTTTGAACTTGTATAGGTGTGTAAGAGGTATAGCAACATAGCATTTATACGGACCCAGGGTAGCTACAATTCTGTTCCCAGGTGTCGCGCGCATGAGGCTTCAAAGCTGTGGATTGCTGTGCGTGTGTAGAGGTTATCGAGCGGTTGACGGAAAGGGAACTTGAAGTAGCTGCACTATAGCTACCCTGGGTATCTATACCTGGCAATGTGCCAACTACACCTTTCCATTCAGATGATGCAAATGATGCAAATTGCATTTCTTGCATCACCACCCCTCAAAAATCACCTCCAACACAACCTCAAAAAACCTTCCCTCGATGCACCCTCCTCCCCCAGCACGTGCCGAGTTTACGTGTACCTTTTGCGGGCCACCCCCCCAGACCCCCTAACTACTCACTTCGTTCGCCAAGCACAACTCAGCTGGCGCCTTCTACGAAGGCTGGCTTTCGTAACAAAAACACAAACACAACAACTCTCTCAGGGTCTGTGTTTTGTTTCCGATTGAATAATTGCCAAGGGTCAGCAAGCGACGAATGACAAAGGGATATGCCATGGCCACAATTTGATATTGCGGGTCTCCTTGCAAAGCCACGCCTTCCAGTGTCGCCACTGAACGTGCCAAGAGCGAGACGTAGGGTGGAATGGAAAACTTCACTTCCATATTCACCTGGCAAACGACGTTGCGCACGGACTGACACGCACCTGACACCACGCACGGCACGGCATCTAGTGCTTAAAACCCCTTCGAAGCGAACACTTCGAGGTGACCGGTGAGACACTGGTCAAACACCGAGACGACACCGAGAAAAGCGGAGAGACTCACGCGAGTCTACAACAACTAGTGAGTGTGTACTTGAGCCGCGAGCCTTTTATCTCCTCGTGAGGGAGGTCATCTGACTGACACATCGAAAAAAAAGAATGGGCTCCAAACCAACAGGTTTTGAACTAGGCGGCTAACTGATCGTTTGCTCTATTACATAAAACGTAATAATTCAGAGGGACCCCATAAAAAAAAGTGCGTGCCTCAACAACTTGATTGAACGGAAGGCCGACCACAATAATAATTGTGGTATCTCTCCGTATGCGTCGTGTGTGCATGTGTGCTCCGCTGCAACTCCTGAACCATGTGGCCGTTTCGTAGCATTTGTGGCAGTTCTTCTGTCATAAATTAGCCAGATCTACTTGGACATGAAGGCTGTTTGACTGACCATTGTACGAGCGTGAGGTTCAACTCAATTGTACGCTTTGTTTCCATTGAAACTGAGATGGATCACAATCTGTACAGGCAGGTCTCCAAGGGCACAAAGGCCACAACGACTGGGCAAGTACGCCTCTCCCTCAATCCTCCCATGTCACCGGGTACCAACAAACCTACCGTCTCAAAGCACCTCAGAAAATAGGTACAAGTACCTGTTTCTATAGGGTCGTGTCGTGTCATGTCGCATTTTCTAGGGCACTTTGGAGTCCAGTAAAGCCTCCTAACTCTCACCAAGCTCACTGCACACTCGCCTGGACCTGCAAATGTTCTTGGCTTACACGCTGCTCTCAACTCCCTTCTCCGCTGTTTAGATTTGCCCCCATCTTCGCTACCAAAGCGCCACGGCTCTCCCCCCCCAAAAAAAAAGAGTTCGGCCTTCAGAAGATCCTGAGTCAGGGCTTGGAAGTTGGCATTCTTAAATGCTTGAGCTCCGCCACCCTTCAAGTACCTCACGAAGGTGAGTTACTGCGGTGCTTCCGCATGGAAGAGCGGAAGTGCGGGCCCTTCCGATGGACCAAACGGGAACCACGTGAGTTAAAACAGTTATTTCAGTTCGGTGAAATCCAAGTGAAAAGGACGGTTTTTCACTGACCTAAATATGCTGAAGTCATCCTACAGCCCACTTTAAAGTGAAGAGGCTGATGGTCGTGTTGCCCGACGCCAGAAGCGGGTGGAAGAATTCCTATATTTTGACGTGTACCAGCTGGGAACACGGTGTTTTCCAGTCCTAGCAGGATCCTGTTGTACACTTCGACTCGCTCACGAAGTGGAGTGGAGTTCACCCCCCTTCCCGGTCGTTTTTAGTACCTCCCTGAACATGTGTGACATTGGTGTGACCCATCCAAACAGCCTTTCGCTTGGCAGTGCAAACAGCTTTTGCAAGAACCCGACCCTCCAAGAGCGGCCCAAGGAATCAAAGAGGGTCAGCTGTAAGCAGCCATGGAGGACAACCACTACAGCTCCTAGAGTCCTTGAGGTCAGAACCCTCCATGAGAGCATGACCCCTTGTGAAAGCATTCGACTCCATAGGAGAATGCTGAGCACGGTGCCCTTCTAGAAGAATCCAGTCCTGCACCCTCCGTGCGTACCTCAAATGGAAACAAGTACGTGGTTTTGGTTCGGGTCAGATGGGTCATGAGTTGAATATATACCAGTAAACGGCGGATGATGATTGTGAGTAAAGACCTTTCACAATGACATGTCGTGATCATCTTCAATTCCATATATGTTTTGCTACCGAGCACCATGAGCCAGTCGTGAGGGGCACAAAGTGCTAGCAGTTAGGAGTATTTTCGCACCTTCCCAGCACAGTCCCCAACCGACAAACCGTTTTGCAATCAAAACAGGTGCGGTTTCAGAACCCTTTGCATAATTGGAACCTTAGCTTCTGCACGACATGTGCCGCAAGTCGGGCGCAGAAAGAAAAACGATGCCGCATCCGATGGCTCAAGCCTCGTCCAACATCTGAAGATCTTGGGTCCAACACGCGCAGAACCATCAGGATTCAAGGCAACAAACCAGCCCTAAGCTCATGTTCTCTATTTGGCCAAAGTATTCTTCCTCTCACATGTTCAAAGTAATTATGGCGTTGGCTGTGGGCTATGGCACCGGGGGCCTGGGGACCAAACGCTTTTCCGAACATGAACAGGTAACCGGGAGGTACGGACTCCCCGGGGATGTCCACTGAACGCATGGGTATTTTCGGGAGGGAAAAAAACTCAGAAACGCCATTGCGTTGAAAAAACAATATGAAGCCACAAGCTTGAGGGCTTAAGCTTCGGGGCTTATGCTATTTTTGTTCAAATTGTTCGAAGCCAACAGCGCTTCTCTCAAGCTCGAGGGCTCTTGGCCGTTCACAGCAAGTGTGGGCGGCGGCGACAGCCCAATTTCTACTCTGAGCCATGCAGAACCAGTCTACCCAGCCAGGGGCGATCGGGGGTCTAAGCTAGATTGGGGGTCGCCCCAATTCAATACACACTCATCGCTGACTTTGGCGACCCCTGCTCATTGCAAAGTAGGATGAAAATCATCAAACATGGTCAAAGTTGTAAAACACAGAGTTTGATGACGTTCGTTATTGCCACGCAAAACCAACACACCAAGCATCCCGTTGATCTGTAAATCTCTAACTCACATCCGTCCTTCCGTCCTTCCGTCCGTCCGTCCGTCCGTCCCGTCCGTCCATCCAATATCCAATCACCTCCCGTCCCATCGGTCTAAGGGGCCAAGGCATCTTTGTCCGTATCCTCCGACAAAAAGCCCAACTCCTCACGTGCCGGGACTTTCTGCGATGTGGCGAAGAAGAAGACCTCCAAAACCACCTGAACCCGAAAGCTCTTGGAACTAGAAAATTGGACATGTCCCGAACCAACACCAGGGCCCAAGAAAGAGGGATCATTAATGGACAGCCCTTAACCTTAACCGCTTTTCGGGGCTATTCTCAAACACCCCAAACAGGAGGCAAAAGGTAGTACTTTATATTTTCTTGTATTATCTTCTATTATACTAATTTTGCGAGGTACTATAACTGACACTCCCGATTCCCATTGAGTGGATGATGCGCCTCTCATCGTTTCTGAAAGGGATTTGTTGGACAAAACATGGAGAGAAAGTGCTTTCGGTGTCACGAAGCTTTTCCGTTCTTCAGATCTCTTCAGCGATGGGATCTCTGAAAAACGTGTACCTTGACCATCTGTGCGCGCGCAACCAATGGTTTTGGACCATGCACATTTATGAACAGATACACAAATACCACGTCAAGTTAAACCACTCCTCCAACACCACTCTCTCTCTCTCTCTCCCTTGTCCTGGATAAGGGTTGCCTAAAGGAATACAGTACTTGTCACCTACACAGTTTACAATGCATTAGAGGCAGGAAGAACATCAACAAAAACAACTCCGTCCTGGAAGTCCTCGATCAAGGCCTCCCAATTCTGAGTTCCTCAGCTGCTGGCAAATTTTGAACATGCATGCGCAGGTCACATATTCGCATATATATATAACCATCCTGGAGTACGTACATAGAATATGGAATTGAAGGTTCCGGCCGTTTTTGTCCACGAACTTTTTGAAAATCCAAACGGGTACATAGAATAAGAAAACGTGGATTTCGAGCTTTCAAGTCAACCAAATTTTTGAAACATAGAATATGGTTCCCCTCGATTATCATAGTTTTTCTTTTTTTTTGTCCATGTCTGTTCCTTTTATGTTCCTTTTGTTTTCCTTTTATTGTGATTGTCCGTTCCTTTTCTTGTTAAATTGTTGTCATTGTCTTATCTTTTCTTGTCCAGTTCTTGTCCTTTTCAGCAGGAACTTAGTAAAGGAACTTAAACAAATAAAAAACAGAGTCTAAAACCGACCGCAGCTGTCAGTCCAAGAAAAAAAATAGAAACCAAAAAATATTCTAAGTACCATGTTTGGACCCATATATTCCAAGTATGTTTTTTCTTTTTTGCAGCCGCGAGATTGAACAAACACATATTCTATGTACTCCAGGATGGTTATATATATATATATATATGGAAGTGCAAAACAACTTGTTACTATTGATTTCTTGGTGGCTTTGTGAAGAAAGGCATAACATCATATCATATAGAGGAATTGAGTTGGTATGAATTGCTACCAGTCACAATCAACCGTTTACAATGAATACAAGAGTCCCAAAATTTAGAGGAACCTGAACCTCCTTGCAAGTTGACTATGGACCCCGAGTCCATCTGGATGATGAAACAACAGTACCGAAACCCATCATCATCACATGACACACTTGTTACGTTGCATCCATGTCCAATCCATCGTATACCTCCACATGCATCGAATGGACTGCGGACTGCGCTTCGTTGTGAAACTCCCAACGCCATCGGCATCACTGCGCGAAGTTAGCTCGGGATGGGACTTCGTGGCACCCGCCGACTGACAGAAGCGTGACGACCTGAATTAAAACCCAGGTCAAAGTCTGATTTCCCTTCTTTGGGTGGAGAAGTCGAAGTGTTTTGGTTGAAAAACACAAAACACAAAACACAACATTCAAACCACTTTCTTCTAACCACTTCCCCTATTTGACCTTCGGATGGGGCGGTCTCCACCTCTCGGTTCTTTCTGTCTCCGGACCTCTCGTCTCCAGGCTCTGCCGAGGAGCCCAAGTGGACCACGGCGGAGACGATGATGTCCCGGTCCTTCCGGGGCACCTGGGCGACCAAGCCGAAGTCCAAGAGGCCTCAGACGGCAGGCTGTGGCAGGCTGGGAGGGCTGGGAGGAGAGGGAAGAGAGGAGCCGAGCAGGTGTGGGGGAGAAAGAGGAGGTGATGAGGTGTGGGGGGATGACAGGTGTTTCTGGGGTAGGTGGACGGTGAGGTTCACTTTCGGATTGGTTTGAGGTCGGAAAAGTTAAATGGCGATCTGACCTTTCTGAGTCCAATCTGGGACATGACATTAACATGTGTAAACAAAATAAATGTCCACATGGAACTGAAACTCGGGGTGATTTTTTCCTTTTTTCCGGGATTGGAACTGATCCGTGCTTTCGGATTTCGGGATGTTTTATTGTTTCATGTCTGGGAGAGCTAAGGCATTTGGGTCCAAGGTGGGATTAAATCTAAGGAAAGCAAGGTCCAAATTGATACAGTGCATACATAGTATACATATATATATATAAATAAATAGATATAGATGTATTGGTCAAGCTGGGGTTCTCTCATTTGGTGTTTTGTAATTATTCATGTGGTCTCTGACCTCTAAAGGTGGTGTGGAATATTTTTGGGGAAGCGGGACCAATGGATATGTGCGCCAAGGTGGGGTGGGCTTCTCTTAGATTGTTTTAAGTCTGGGAGAGGTAAGACATTCAAATGGTTCCCAGGTGGGATTAAATATCTAGGCAAATTAATTGATACAGTGCATATATATATAATATAAATAGATGTATTGGTCAAACTGGGGTGGGATTCTTTGATTTTCTTTCATTTGGTGTTTTAAGCTGATCAAACATTGACCGGCTTTTGACATGCCTGTGGAAAAGTTTAAACTTGTTTTTAACTTCTGGATCAGGTGCCTACTGTAGTTTGAAACACATCCCAGGTCATACCCCCAGCTTTACCCTCTTACGCCCCTACTTGATAAATATTATGCTTTGAACATTCCAAAAATATTCCATGAACTGACGGTGAGACCTAGAATAATTAACTACGGACCCACCCATGGTAATATCCTGTCCCTCCAAGTGAGTCTTCAAGTGCGCTCACCCGCTTCAGACCCTCCAAGAACTCAACAGTTGCTTGGAGGCTCTCTGCCATTGCCTTGTGGGACATTACTTGCGGGCACTCTTTGACCACAAATTGCATGATGGATCTGAGGCCATAGGAACCAGAATCACGCAGGAGATTCAAGCAGTCAGCACTCATCTCTTTGTGAGGGAATGATCCGGAATTCTGGAACCTGCATTCTCCAAGGTATGCGCCAAGGTATGCGTGAATCCTGCGTACGACTCTGTCCCTCTGGATTTCTGAGGACAATCGGTTATGGTCTGCATCAATGTCCAAGACAAAAGCATCATAGGAATCTGTGATTCCAGCAAGACGGTTCAACACATCATTCATCTGGATTGTAGCCTCAGGGATGCCGCCCACAGTGACGATCGTGTTTCTTGGTGCCTTGCTCTTCTTCTTGATAGCCCCAGCGAACACATTCATGGTCAAGGAATTGGCTACGTTCCTAAAGACTAGAACTCACAGTCGCAATCGAACGCTTGTCATGATCTCCTTCTTTTCTGCCTCATTTGCACCATCAAGGTCGGATGATCCTTTCAAGTTCGCTTCTAAATCTGTGTGGTACAGCAAATCGATGAATGCTTTCCCGGTGGCCCTGAGGATGGAAAGATAATCCGAAGCGATCAGCTGAGTATGGGTTGAGATCGCATCATCCGGTGGCAAAGTCTCTGCTGGGGCAGATGTGCTTCCTGTTGGTTTCACAGCACTTCTGGAAAGGTTCAAATCCATCTTGGCCAATGCCTGAGTTTGCTTGCCACCTTCATGTCTGACTTGCCTATGCTTTCGTCCTTGTTTGGAAGCTGGAGCACTAGCAGTGCGAGATGCCATCAGTAGCCGGAACACAAACAGGTGAAGTGTGAGAAGCTCAAAGTCACCGTCGAATTGCCAAATGATAAGCCGTTTATGATTGTTTAAACAAGGCAAATGTGGCCCAAGAGGTTGGTTTTTATTTTATCAAAAAGGGTGGGGACAAATTGAAGGTTGCAATTAATTCTATAAACATGTTGCAAGAGGTTGGTTTTGATTTTATAGGCCTGATCTCACAGCACACCATCCACTCTAAAATCAATGTTCAACCTTCTATTCCTCAAAATGTGTTCAATACTATAAAATGAAATATCAACCTACATGACCCCACAACACACCATCCACTCCAAAATCAATTCTCAACCTTCTACTACCAGATGCTTTCTATGACATGGCGTGCCCTCTCTATAGAATCAACTGTTGGGACCCATATTGAAAGACCAAGCTGACTTTTTGGACCCCATGTTTAACTGGTTTTTCAGATAGGTTGATATTTGAGTCTATATACTATATACAAGAAAATTGTCTATAAAATCTGATGGTCATTTTGAGCTCAAGCTCCCAGATTCTATAGAGATATTCGGCAGAGGATTTGCTTATAATGTGTATGTATCATGTGTGATTTTTGCTGTAACTTTGACCATACATAAATCACATATGATACTAGTTGTGTCATTGCAATAACACACTGATTTAACATAAAGAGTGCATACAGCCAGCATTGCTGGCTGAACAAACAGGAAAGACATCCGTATACAACCTAATGTGTGGCCACCAATGCTGGTCTTCAAATGATCGCCCTGTGCTAAAGGCGCCTAAAAATTTGGTTCACAGTGGGGCGGCACTGCAGATCACACTTAGATATAGGCTAGCAAGAGCTGAATCAGTTGTGAGGATCCAGTGCATTAGCTCTTTAGGTGAATAATTACTTAGCCCTTGACTCTCAAAACGGCATGGCGAAAGGGTAAACACACTCACCAGCACTTTACGGGAAAATTGAAGTTTACAGCATACAGGGCAATGATGATACCGTTGCTGCGAAGCTTGGACCACACCGCCATGGTAAAATTGGCACAGGCAACAAGCAAATGCCGCAGACTGCTTGCCCTGCCACTGCTGGAGCTGGAAGCACGGCCTCAGCATTCTGTGTGGCAGCGGCCCCAGGCGGCGAGGCAGCTTCTGTTGCTGCTGGTGGTGCCACCGCTTCATCGACCGACCATGCCGACGTTCGCCGCCGCCGGCGTGGACGACTCTCGTCGAACCACACCCAGTCGCCACCACCTTCGCCACCTTCATTGGCTGGCGCGCTGCTGGCGCGCTCCCTGTGCCAGTGGCCATGGCTGTCCCCAAGAGCACACTCAACAGCAACTCCTTCACCTCATTCCAAATTCCTCTGGTGACGTTTTTGAGAGCCAGAGCGCTTGTCTTGTTCAAAAAAACGGGTATGAGTGAAACAATGCCCTCCAGCTGTGTCTCAAATGCGCCCAGGAGCGCATACTTCTGGAAAAGATCAAACTCGTGAAGGCGTTCAGACCTCCCCCCGCATTTCCAGCTCAGAAGTGGGACATGTCAAGCTTCCCCATGGACGTGGATGTGGAGGGTCCGCTCTTCCAATGCTTTTGCGCGGCACTCAAAGAGTCGTTCACAGCTCCTGAAGTAGCCAAGCTGCACAGCTTCCCAGCATCATCGCCTGATCAGGGGCGAGCAACATCAAGAAGTCAGATTATACATTGATACAAATACATTAAATACATTAATTAAAATCCTTAGGCATCGTAACCAGGAGCAAGGACGCTACTAGTAGCTCCTGGCATCGCTACTCGGAACAAAGGGCATCGAACGAACAAAGTAAGGATACCCTAGGGCCTCCAACCGCATCCGGTTCGGTGATTGGGGCGCCAGGGGGTCGGTCCCTCCTTCTAAGGATGAACCCGTTTGGGAATCCATCGATACCACCGAACCTGATAGCGATCGAAACGTGATGGAAGAAGGGGCAGAAGGGGCAACAGTGACAAGTACCAGCGGTCACCGAATGTCACGTTCAACCAGCTAAGGCTTGATGCAAAAGGCTTTGATTTGGCTCAGATTGCTCTCCAACAACAAGGTCTTGACGCTCTTTGACCCGGGATCTCCACGATATGTGTGCAATAAAGACATCACATATATGCCACCCATGTTTCCCCCTGTCTCGATGGAAAACGGGTGGTTGGTTTCCCCCCAAAATAGAGGTCCAGATTAATGGTTGTCTTCTCGTCGCTTTTGGTCGTCCAACGTCGGTCCCCAAACCAGTGGATCCTGCGTCCTCTCAGGGTTTTTCAAACGACCGAGCGACCTGGAGAAAAATCCACACCTTCAGACCTGGAGAAACGGCTTTCCACGTCTTGGATCGCACCGTTTTGGAGAAAGACACCAGGCAATGCGGCAAAACTGGTGAGAAAAACCACACCAAAACACCGGTAGAAACACCATTGGATGCAGCAAGAATGCAATTTTTCCTAGAAACACCATCCACGTCCTGCGTGCGTCCAAGGACGATGTAGCTGCAGCCCTCCCAAACATTCCGAAAAAGACACGGTGCGCACCAAGGTGCTTTCTTGCACTCGGGTTCCGATTGCAAATCGTTCGATACACAAAAACAAACAGGAAATCGTTCCGGTGCCTTCAGTGATCTTCAAGAGGTTTCCAGGATGTGGATCTCCATGGAAGAAACCAATGTCCTGGACCACTCCGAGTTCGGAACCAACACCAATGGGCCGAGGCATGGCCGACGCCTTGCGAACACCCCTGCGGCAAGAAAACATCGATATGACGATGACTGAAGATCAACGGTGCTTCCGCGCGTGTATGTGTGTGTGTGTGGGCAGGTGGGTGGGTGGGTTGGTGGGTTGGTGGGTTGGTTGGTGGGTGGGTGGGTGACTTACTGTGTGCAACATGGGGTAGGTTGTTTTCACACACACACACACCCGCTGAGGCATAGCTTATGCAAATACCCAACTCGACAAGGACCTACACAAAGCTCACTGAACAAGCCAAGGAACCTTAAAGTAATGAAATACAACATATATATATATATATATAACGGTTTGATCCCCTTGGCTCCACCACACCGCATATGACATATATCACACCATCGCCTTTTGTTCTGTCGATGCGACATGCAGGGATTGCCGGATGGCCATTTTCCAAGCATGTCTGTTGACAAGAGCTGGGACTTCTCCGGAACAGCGTTTATCCCCCATTTCACAGCTGGTTGGGGGTTCCTGGGGGTTCGGATTCCCCCTACCAGTCTCCACCTGGTGCACTTGCAAACGGTGCAAAGACCCTACAAAGACCCATGCAAAGAGGACATCGACCGACGGAAGGACACTATGACCGGTTGAGGGTGAAACTATCAAGGCGATAGATGCACACTCATCTGGCTGTGAGTCAAAACCTCCCCCGCCAAAGCATGGGTGGGTGCTTCAGTGGTTGATATCCCATATATATATATATATTGCAGTATATTGTTTCATGTTTACCATGGTGCCCCGGTTTTGACCAACAGCCATCTCAGAAGATTCCTTTGCACGAGATCCAAAAGAAGAGGGCCGACGGCCCTTGAAGTTCCCCCATTGAAGACATAAGACCATCTTAGGGACTCCCAGTATAGCCATGCCTAGCCTGTCGTACTTATATAATACTTGCAGTTTGCGTTGATCCTTTGGTTAGTAGTAAGTTATATATATATATATACCCCATGGCATGTGAACCAAATTGGGCTGCAAATATTGGTCCATCAATAGCCAAGTCTTTAGTATATATCTTTAGGGGACTGTTTGTGCTCCATCCTGAACCACGGATTTCCTTCATCTCCCACATCCATTGGTCAGTCACTCTTTATGGAAAAAGAGGCCCGAAAACGGCCGGTGGAAACTCGATCTCAGTTGATTGAGCAGGAATCCAAGAGCTGAGTCAAGAAGACCTCCTGCCCAATGGCGATCAATTCTCGAATCTCCTGCAGCATCAGAAGTTTTTGGACACTGTCCACAAATCTCTAGATCATCTGCGTGTGTATTGGAATCATCTCAAAGACCCTGGGAAGAGCTGCCCAAAGAAGTTGCCGCCCCAGAAGTTGCTGGGGGTCTCCTCTAAATAGGGACTCCCTTGTTTTGATTTGATATTAGAACAGGTTCCCGGTTCACCATTTTCCAACTGTAATATATTGGGGAAACCTGTTTCCGCTCAACAAAAGGGTAATTACGGTAGGTTATCCAGGTAGTGAAACCTTTCTTTCTTGGGGTGAATAATGGTGACTATGTTTTGGGTGGTTATTGTTGCAAAGCATAATATATTAAGTATTATAAAGTATGGCTCAATGTTTGCTACCCCAAACCCCAGTTGTCTCAATCCTGGGTCTGGGACTTTGAGCTAGGCCCATATCGTTTCGATTGAAATCATGCGGCAAAGCCACCAGGATTGAAAACATGCTGTAGACTCTGGACGGATATACTAATTACTGGTGGTTTAAATAAGAAACATAGTACTGTATACACACCTAGAAAATTGCCTGCTGCTGAGCAAAGAATCTTAAAAGCTCCATGCTTGATGTCACCAGTAGTGAAATAGTGAGTGTAACATGTCATTCTTCAAGAATACCCCAACATGTCTCGGTTAGTTCATTGGATGTTCGCCGGGCTTTATCTCCGTCGTCCTCCACTTCTACTGCAGGGATTGATGAGGCACAAGGGCATGTAATGTGTGCCTCGCTTGTTGTCCCATAGTAGTTCTCAGTTGTAGTGAGCATTTCAAACACTGATTCTGTTGGACTTTTTGTGTTAAATTCTATTTCCAGGGACTCCCCAGTACAAACTCCTGTTACCTTCCGTCTCTGAATCCCCAACATGGGCTCCATGAGGCTTGATTAAAACAACAACTGGTGGCGAAAACGGACCGGCCACGTGTCGCCAGGCGTTGCGAGTTTTCCTTTCTGACTTTGGACGGCACCTCTCGGATTGAAGCTGACCCCCTCAGCTTCCGTGTGTAAGAAAGCCCGCTTACTTTCTGGGTAGGGGGAAGAAGCCATGAGTTGGTCTCCCAGGAAAGGTGCTGGGTACGCTGAACAAAACATGAAAAAAGCGAGTGTGATTTGACTCGGTGAGCTCGCTGATCAAATCAGCTGCTTGTGGAATGGGACTGCAGCATGTTTCAGCATCAAACGACTGCTGGAAGGGACTGCAACAAATTGGGAGCTTTTCAAGGTCCTTTTTAGGTCTTGCCGAATTCCACACGTAACGTAGAAGCCCCAAATGCTCGTTTTTTATTTGAGCCAGGAGTTCTGAAGGGGCTGTAACATCAAAGAAAAACACAAAAACGCAACCACTGCGCTGCAGGCAGTAAGAACACGCTTCGTACTTAACGCCCAAAGCCGGCGCAAGCAGAAAACCGTCCTGCTGTGGCAAGGTGCTGAGTTTCACTCCATTCACCCACTGAGAGAGCATCACCCGGCGCGTGGTCAATGACATCAACGGGGTCGGAATGATGATCCTCACGGCCGTCGCGAGTTCCTCGCGAGTTCCTCTGTCGGTGGGTTGGCTGACCGTCAGTTCGGAAGGACCAGTTGAACCGAAGGACAAGCCGGGTGGCGTGGGACCCACTTCCATGTGATGTGTTCGTGAAGCTTGACGATCGAGAAGGACATGCTTGATGGTTGGAAGCACCCAAATGACGAGCTCCTATCTCTTGAGGCATCCAGGTGCCTGGATGCCATGTGTGAGTCTTGCAGTTGCAGTCAAGCAAGGAGCTCAAGGAACCATCCAGCTTCACTGAAATCTGAAATACACTGAAGTCTTGATTGATGGATGATCTACATGGCTGCATACTAAAACAGGGAGACCGACTCGACCTCCTAGAAAAGCCCTTGACTGGGGGTGGGGGTCTCTCCCTATCCTAGTATATGAATCGCATGTGCCAGATGCATTGATCCCTTGCCTCTTTGGAAGGTGTGACCACAATGATAGCCCCTGACATGTCCTCCCTGCTTTACCAGGGTTTTCCTCCGGATCCTTGCTCCGTGGTGCCGTTTTTGTTTTGATGTTGGAGCATAACTTGTGACGTCGGGTATGGGGATTCAAACACACTCCCAAGTACGTCGCAGCATGTTTTTCTGGCTAAGTATCCTTTTTCACCTGGCTGGAAAGACTCTGCGTCAAAGGCAGTTCTGCAGCCCTGCTGCCCTGCTACGACTCTCGAGTCTGCACCTTCACATGTGACTCGCCCTTGGACGGAGGACCAAAATGCTGGCTCACCCACAAGAACGAAAAGAACATATGACGGTCATGGCACCCGGGCACCCTGGTTGACCGAAAATGACCAGATTCCTCTATATAGTGATGTCAACCTACCATGGTTTGGTGGAGGTTGAGTTCCTCACAGCCATTTGCCTTAAGGCGTTAGTCAATGGTTGCTCTCATCTTGCAGGATTCCGGAGATTGAGCCCCCACGGCGCTTGGACTGATATGAGTCTCATCCCAGGTTGGCCGCCGCACGACCGTCTCCTCTCAAAACCCAATTCCATGCAAGGCGCTTCTCTAAGGAATCTTCGCCTCAGTAGAGGGAGACGGGCCGGGCGACGGCGACTCAAACGGCAGGGAGCTGTGCCAGCTGTGCTGCTTTGTTGGGTCCAGGGACGTGACGTCCAAGTTCACCTTTCGTTTTGTTCCAATGAAGTACACCTCACACGGAAGCGGTCTGCGTCTGCCTTGGTATGGGTCTTCTGGCCATTCCGCTGGTGATCTCTGAAGTACTTGGATATATTGAGATGTCTTCAGATACGCACTTTGTCGCAAAAAAACAGACTTTGACATCCGGTTCTTCCTGGGGTGGTGGACCTGGGGTCTTAAATGCAGGCATTCTTCTGTACTATATGTACTACAGATTACTACAGTAACTATTAGTATACTAATCTTGGAGCCCCAGGGAATATATACATGGAGTCTCCGGCAAGAACCGAGGAAATCGAAAACCCACCACATGGAGCCGCACAGCTGCCTCATATAGGGAACAAATATGAACAAATCTTCCAGCTGCCCAGCTGCCAGTATGCACTGTTCAACACACAATGAACAAAACAAGTGTGATACCTATCACGAGTATCACATCTCTTGGCTCTGTCAGGCGGCCCGCCTGATTGTGTTGCAATCAATCATTGTCACGCTCGGCGATTCCAAACCGTCTGAGCAAGGGACAGCTTTGAGGCTAGGTGCTATAGAACATCAAGTTTATGCCTTTGAGAGCGATGTAGGCTACCCTCACTTGCAGTGGATGATGATGATGGCTAGTAAGCTGTTCAGTTCTTGCACAGTATGCTAGCAAGAAACTGAATCAACACCGCAGGAATCATCATGAACCAGAAGATACCCTATCTACTAGCTGGCTCAAAAAAAACTTGTCCACTGTGTTGTTGTCCGGCAAGACCACAAAAAACCAAAGAATAATAATTACTTTACTTCGAGTGATCCCCACCATGACATTTCAATCATTTGACTTGATGCCATAGCGAGGGGGCGAGGGGCATGTTGCCATGGTCGTGAGTATTGTAGTTCTCGATTTTGCTTGTGGGTCCTCGGGTTGTGTGCTGCGGTTGTGTGTTGTGGTTGTGGTTGTGTGCTGTGTTGTGGTTGTGGTTGTGTTTGTGATTGTGTGTTTGTGGCTGTGTGTTTGTGATTGTGTGTTTGTGGATGTGTTTGCGGTTGTGCTTGTGGCTGTACGTTTGTGGTTGTGTCTTTGTGGTCGTGTTGTTGTGGTTGCGTGTTTGTGGTTGTGTGTTTGTGGTTGTGTTTGTGTTTGTGTGTTGTGGTTGTGTGTTTGTGGTTGTGTGTTTGTGGTTGTGTGTTTGTGGTTGTGTTTTTGTGGATGTGCTTGTGGTTGTGTTTGTAGTTGTGTGTTTGTGGTTGTGTTTGTGGTTGTGTGTTTATTGTTGTGTCTTTGTGGTTGTGTGTTTGTTGTTATGTTTGTGGTTGTGTGTGTGGTTGAAAGTCTGCCATTCAATCTGCCATTCTATCTGGCAATCTATCTGACATACTATCTGGCATACTGTCTGGCATACTATCTGGCATTTTGTCTGGCATACTATCTGTCATTCTATCTGGCATATCTTCTGGCATTCTATCTGGCATTTTATCTGGCATTCTATCTGGCATTCTATCTGGCATATTTTCTGGCATTCTATCTGGCAATGTATCTACCAATCTATTCTATCTGGCAATCTACCTGGCATTCTATCTGGCATTTTATCTGGCAAACTATCTGGTTGAGGTCCAGCGGTGCACACTGCGATCGGATCCTTGCGGTTGAGGTCCAG